TATACTTAAGTGCAGATTAGGTACTTTCAGCTGCTCCCGCTGTGGCTGCGGTAGTAGGGAACCCTGCGGTGGTGGCCTCCTCGTCCTGGTCCTTGCCCTATAATGGCGACTCTGTTTAGCAGCAGCCTGCAAAGCCACGGTGACAGTGTGGGTGAGGGCGACGGTATCGGTGACGGTGACGGTGACAGCTGAGTGTCCTGGGATGCTGCGCTGTTCCTGTGCTGCCGCCTCTGCAGATTTTCTTCTGGGTCCCTGCCTCTACCATCCCCGTCTGCGTCCAAGCAAACATTTCCTCGTTTCACAGGCTTTTCCAGAGCTGCCCGCCCAGCTCAGGGGCGGGGGTAGGCGAGCATCAGAGCTCCAGTTACCCACGACGCCCCGCCCCTTTCCACGCCCCACCGGCTCCTCATTAGCAATTATCCTTGTTGTGGCACAAAGGAATGCGTTTATTCTCTGAAGCCAGCTTTCTTTTGTGACCCTGAATTGCACTTGTCTGATGCAATTGAAATGTGTGCTTTTCTTTCCTCTTAACTCTGCAGCAGAACATTGCTATCATTTACATTTATTTATCTATGTATTCAATAATTGCATCCCTCTTGGGCACTCTTCATTTTCTTGACTGACTGTGAACAGACTGAGAGATGCAGTATGAGAAAGTCTTGACCAGGAAGCCGCTCTGTCCATTCCACATTTTGACCAAAAAGAAAATCAGGCACTCGCCCTGTTCCATTGTGTCTTCACCTGGCCTGAACCCAGGATTCTCTGATAGCAGGGAATTTCTTCCTGCGATAGGGACCTCTGAACACATTTTAAAGGGAGAACATACAGCAAGAGCCTATTGAGCCCAGTAATAAGACAGAAACAGCACAAAAAAACCAGGAGCGAACTTTGTTTAAAAACAATTATCCCTCAGACTAGGTTAGGCTCAGATGCTAGGAAAATGCAAGGTCGGAAAGACTCTTGAGTTCAAATCTATCCGTTGCGATCCACCAGGCAGAAAAGATTCGTTTCTGCTGTCATTCTCAGCTCAGAGGGCGGGTATTGGAGCAGGAGCCAATCTGCGATGAAGGGGCGGGTGGTACGAACTGTCCAATCAGGCGGGCGAAGGCAGACAGGCTCTTCCTGTGTCATGGCGCTAAAGTTTTGATCCTGAGCTGGTTGCTGGGATGTGCTCCAGCTGATTAGACAGTCTTACTTTATGACTTCTGCGAGCTACGTAGGAAGGACCCTGGAGGACACTGAAGCCAGGCCATGGTAATGATGTGGGATGGGGCCCCTGGGATGAGATGCGATGGCTGCGAGGTCTGGGTGGAAGTGGCTGAAACTAGATATGGCGGCAATGGAACCTCTCTGTGCAGTTTCAGAGTCCGAGGGCCGCATTGTCTGCAGTGCTTCATCACCCTTTGTCCCTAAACCTTTGGCTGGGGCTGGGCAGCTTTGGATCCCCAGAATCCTGTCTCTTCATGGTGACTTCCCAGCCTAGAGCAAAGTGTCCGGCAGTCCCAGTCAGCAGCTGTGTCAACATCATACAGGGAGGGCAGGAGGCCTGGGGGTGCGATGGGTGTAGAATCGAACTGGGTGCAGCTGTGGTATGCTGGTCCCAGGGCTCATTCCCTCGGTCACAGACTTAGGAAACCTGAACTTTGTAAATATCTGCAATGTAGGGTCTCAAGCACACAGTTCATTTCCTTAGGACACTACTTCTCCAAGTTTTAGTATTGCTGGTGATGTGACACAGTAGTGGTGGAATGCTTGCATGGCATGCAGTCAATTCCTGGATTCCATGCACAGCAATGCCCCCCTCCTAAAAAAAAAAAAAAAAGAATTATTCAATGGGGCCTCTATGCACAACTTAAGTGAGACATGCCCATGGAGTTTGCAGTGGTGAGAAATATGGAGGGGATATTATGTATTAGGATGAGCATATGAAAGTATTCCTGCTAAGGACCACTTCTAGAGGGAGTGCCTGTTAAACATGCACTGAGAAACTGGCATTGAACAGGGGCATTTACATGGTTGTGTGATTTTTTTTTTTTTTTAATGAGTAGACAGGAAAAAGGTCTCATCTCATAAAATTGCTATAGTCCCCTGACCTGTTTATAGTCATTGTTTTAAAAATTAAAATGCTAGGCTGGGCTTGGTGGCATATACGTGTAATCCTAGAATTTGGGAGATTGAAGCAGGAGGATTATTGTGAGTTTGAGGTTTGAGGCCAGCCCAGGCAATAAAGTGAGTGCAAGTCCTGTCTCAACTACATAGGGGCACCTTGTCTCAAAAAGACAAAAAAAAAAAAAAAAAAAAAAAAAAGCTAATTTAGGTGGACTTCCTTTGGAAGGACCCTCGAGTAGCCCGAGTAGAGCTAACACTGCAAATGCACAGTGTGCAGCCCTCTCAGTCATTATTCATAAAAGTTTTTTTTTTTTTAATCTGAGTGTATGGAGAGGAGCAAATGGGAGGAGAAAACATATGAAATAGGAGGGCCTGACAGTGGGTGGCAAAATCCTCACCTACAAAACGGGGCACAGGGAAGGTAATTTCCTGAGGTCGGATTGTGTGACAATAAAGGACGGGTTGTGTGCTGAGCCTGGTCTGAGAGTGGGTGAAAAATCACTGGCCTGCAGGAAGGAGGGGAATTTAGCAAAAGTTTGATAAATATTTATTGTGTTAGTGGTTTGTATAACTTAACATTTTTGAGGAAAATTTGGTACTTAAGGAACTGTCTGGACTGGTTTGGTTTAAAAATTTTAGTGGACCTGATTATTGAAGTAATAGGAAAAAGTTTTCCAGGACAGAAAAAAATTGGAAGGTGTGGTGGACATTTTGTGTTAGAAAGGATTAAATTCAGGATCTTTGCTTTGAGCTGCAACC